CTAAATACTAATTCAGGAATAACAAGAAAGGGGTTTGGGTGTTGGTGGGGAGGAAGTACTGGAGTTCGTAGGAGCATGGGGCAGAGGAACAATCTCTAATTCTACTTTGGTGGGCCAATGTCACAGATACCACCATGTCCCCTGTGTTGGAGAGACCCTGTCATGCCAATAAAATTAGGTCCACATTGTCACTTGTGCTACTTCTCAGCACTTTGTTTTGTAGGTTCACTGTAATTTATTTAACCAGATTTTAATGATGGACATTTGCATCACTTCTGATTGTCCTTCTTTTCTGTATCAGATTTCTAATGAGCTTTTACCTTAAATGTTCATGAAAATAAATAACGAAAGCAAAATCGCTTGTTTTTTTTTCTTTTGCATCTCTTATCTTGAAGTTTCTAAAATAAAGAAGCAACATTTCAAAAGGAACAAAATTTAAAAAAATTCATCATATCCTTAGGCCTCAGAAAATTCTATCGATTGTTTACTGTCGTGTAAACTATCTAACTAAGCCTTGTGCTGTCTGCCTCCTTGAACGTTACACATGGCGTGGCAACACATACCATCAGTTAAACTGCTGTGAAGTTACCACATTCGTTTTCAAAAATCCTATTTATCTTAAAAATAAAGAAATAGTTCTAAAAGCTTATTTCAAATTCAGTGATTTTGGTAAAAATATGTTTTTAGCCGTACACTTTAAATATCCAAACAGAGCCTAGCTTTGTCATTGAGTTGTGGCCGATCAACAGGATTCTAATTTCTGTGTTTCTCAACATCAAGAAGCTGTCAAGGGCTCTGAGCCACCATCGCTGACCTGGCATGTGCCCAGCACGGCCCCACAGGCCAGGGCGTGCTTGGTGTTTTATCACAGTAACCTTACAGGGTATCAAAAGAGTTACATTTCTTTTCCAAAGGTGAAAAGATTTTAAGAGATAAGGCTGAGATTAAGAACTAGGATTTTTCTGACTCTAAAAGTTATGTTCTTTTAATTAAATATACAGTAATGTACCATATAATGATATTTTGATCAACAATAGACTGCATGCATGGCAGTGGTCCCATAAAATCCCAATGGAACAGAAGAATGCCTGTTGTCACGTGACATGGTGCCTGCAATATGGCTGGAGCACATTACTCAAGTGTCTGGGCGCTGCTGGTGTAAACAGGTCTACTGGGCTGCCTGTCATCCCCTCTACATCCTGACCCTGTGTGGGCTTCAGCTAACACATGTGTGCATGTGTGTCTTATTTTTAACAAAAAGGATTGAAAAGTAAAAAAAGAAAGAAAGAAAAAAGCATACAAAAAAAGATATAAAGAAATAAAATATTGTTGTATAACTGGACAATGTGTGTGTTTTACAAAGCTAAATGTTATTACGAGTCAAAAGGTTAGAAACTTTTAACTTGTCATGAGTTACACTGTGAAGTTTTTATTTATTTATTTTTATTTGTATATATTCCTAGGGCACGCATGCAATTTTGCTACAGTGATATGTTGTATTGTGGTAAAGCCAGGCCTGCAGTGCGCCCATCACTGAAGCACTGACATCATACCCACCCTTTAAGAAATCTTTTATACAATATTTTTACTGTACTTCCTTTTTGTTTAGATACGTTTAGGTGCGCAAGTGATTCCCATTAAGTTATAGTTGCCAGCAGTGCTCAGGACAACAGCACTCTGCACAGGTGTGTCGCCACTGAGGTGTAGCAGGCTGCAGCCGCTCCTTGTGTCAGAACGACACCCTGTGACGTTTCTACGTGAGTTTCCAACCGTGTGAAATCACTGGTGTGTTTCTCAGAACGGAGCCCTGTCATTAAGCGACATATGACTATATTCACTTTCCTTTAAAAACTTGTGTATTTATTCACCAATTCATTAGTAGATTTATATTTTTTTTTGTTTTTTTGAGACAGAGTCTCATTCTGCCGCCCTTGGTAGAGTGCCATGGCATCATAGCTCAGAGCAACCTCCAACTCTTGGGCTCAAGTGATCCTCTTGCCTCAGCCTCATGAGTAGCTGGGACTACAGGCACCCACCACAATGCCTGGCTAATTTTAGAGGCAGGGGTCTCGCTCTTGCTTAGGCTGGTCTTGAACCTGTGAGCTCAGGCAATCCACCTGCCTCAGCCTCCCAGAGTGCCAGGATTACAGGTATGAGCCACCCCACTGGCCTCCCTGCTTATTTTAACTGACTATTTTGTTTTGTATCCTTCCGGCTTGAAAAGCTGTGAGGAAGGAGGTCTTTCCTGCCAGCACCACTTCAAAAAGTCCCAGGGCAGACCTCTGGCTGGCCAAGCCTGGGGCTTGTGGCTGGAAATGGGAGGGAGGGGTCAGTCACTAGAAGAAGGGGGTCATAGCAGAGACCGGGCCACTGGGGTTGTCAGTGAAGGAGCCACCCTGATTTGCGACTAGTACACCTGTGGTTTCATGTGACTTTCCCATCCCCGCAGTCACTCTGCAGCACACCAACAGGCACAGGGTGACCATGTTCCTGTGAAAAAGAGAAGAGAACGTTTTATTATCCGATGGCTGGGACTGCTACACTATAAATACAGCAATACCACGGTGCTTTCCTGTGGGGAGGATGGCAGGAAACAGTTGTTGATGACTGGAGGACCTTGTGGTTCAGCCACATCTTGGTATTTGCACTTGTCCCAACCACAGGGGAACAAACTTGGAACTGGTCGTTGCTTTGGTTCTACTCTGCCCTGTGCCTGTGTCTAGGCTGCCTTGATAAAAAGTTCCTGGCATACTGGAGTGACCTGTGTTGCCACAGAAGAAGTTCTAACCTAAGAAGGCTTTGTTGGACATTTTAGGGGAAAGTCCCTCCTGCCCTCCTTCCCAGAAGAGCAGGGCAGCTGGTACCTAGGAGTGTTGCTTTGCTTGGGATGTGAACTTGGCTCTCTCATCACTTCAATCATTTGGCAACTGTTTATTGGACACCTGCTCTGTGCTAGACGCTAGTCCAGGGGCTTAGGATACAGACAAAAACGCCTGCCGCAGTGGAGTTACCCATTTACAGGGGCAGAGACACAATTAACAATGAATATAACACAGGAGCAAATTAGCTAATATGCTAGAATATTCTGTGATGGGTAGTACAGACAAATAAAAGATGGTCAGGGTAAGGCCTGTAAGGAGGTTTTTGGAATGTTGATGGGAAGATGCTGTGAGAGCCAGGAGTGGAGGTTGGTAGGAAGTTATCCATGTGGACACCCGCAGAAAAGTGTATTGGGCAGAAGGACCAGCCAGTGCAAAGGCCCCGAGGCAGAACGGCTGGGTCTGGATGGTCACTTCTGGCAGCAAGGAGACCCTCACTGCTGGGGCAGAGGGAGTCAGAGGCAGTCACAGACAAATAGGCCAAGGGGTAACAGGAGGGCAAATTGTCTATCTGAGTGAAGTGGGGAGCCACTGGCGGGTTTTGTAGAGAGGCCCGGCACAGTCTTTCCTAAATTTACAACAACTCTGACCCCTGTGTGGAGAGAATAGACTTCCGGGCCCAGAAGACAGCCCAATGTGGCAGCAGTCTTAAGGGGAGAGGGTGGTGACTCAGACCGGGGTGGTGGCTGTGGAGGTGTGAGAAATGGAGAGATTGTGGGCCTAGTGTGAAGGGAGAGCTGACG